AGGGCCCTGAAGTTGTCGCTGGGCCAGATGGGCTTCCAGGCAGGGATGGTCGACCGGGACAGCAGGTGAGCAGGACTTGGGCATCTCCATTTGAGATGAGGTGTGTGTATGGGGGGTGCGGGGGGGAATGCTGCCATAGGCCATGGCCATGGAGCAGGAGGAGCAGGGCAGAACCCACATACCCAGAAGTTCCCCGTGTGAGCGATGGCCTCATCCCTGGAGACCTGGGAGTGTGGCCCTCCTGACATCTCTCCTCCAGGCCAGCACCCAGAAGGCATCCCCTGCCCAGTGGATGAGCTTCTGGCCTTTAAGATCCCTCCCCTTCCCTATGCTGAAGTCCTCAGTTCCTCTAGCCCTCTGGTCCAGCCATGTTCACACAGAGGGGGTGTGACCTCCATGCTGGAGTTTGACCTCCCTGCCTCCATCCAGCTCCCCCTCGAGTCCCCCCAGGCTTTGAGCCACCCCGCCTCCTCGGCTGCCTCTCCTGAAACATGAGGGATCTTCCTTGCCCTCTTTCTTTCCAGGGGGAGCAAGGAGCTGATGGGACTCCTGGCCCCATGGGTCCTGCTGGGAAGAGAGGAAACCCAGGTGTGGCCGGCTTGCCTGGAGCACAGGGACCCCCAGGATTCAAGGTCAGGCACTTACTAACATACTTATCTCCCTTCACCCTTTCTGCCGTGGTTCTAACTATAACGATTTGACTATAATGCCGACATGGGCACCCATGTCCCAGGGCCTGGGTGAGAATGGAGCGCACATTGCCGACCTTTCCCAGGGGCTCCTGTCCGAGCTTCCACCTAACCTAAAGGGTAGTGTGTTCAGGCAGCTATAAACACTGCCCTCTCCCTGGCCCTGGTCCTTTAACTCAGCGGTTCTCAACCTGTGGGTCGCAACCCCTTTGAGGGTTGAACGACCCTTTCACAGGGGTCGCCTAAGACCATCAGAAAACACATATATAATTACATATTGTTTTTGTGATTAATCACTATGCTTTAATTATGTTCCATTTGTAACAATGAAAATACATCCTGCATATCAGATATTTACATTACAATTCATAACAGTAGCAAAATTACAGTGATGAAGTAGCAACGAAAATAATTTTATGGTTGGGGGTCACCACAACATGAGGAACTGTATTGAAGGGTCGCGGCATAGGAAGGTTGAGAACCACTGCTTTCACTGGTTGTTGAGCTGTCCATGGGCGCCCTCTTGTGGGCCTTTGTAGAACAATCGATGTTGTTTGCCACTGGGACCCTCCCCTAAGGCATCTTTTTAAAGAGCTTCCTTAAGGGATTGGGGGGGCGTTGGGGGGGAGGAGCCGTGAGTCAGTATGAGCCCAGGGCTAGATAGGAAGGAAGATTGCGATGAGTGAGTCAGGCATGGCTCTCACCCTTCCTGAGCTCAAGGTTTAGTTGGGGAGAGAGGACAGCAGGCAGGGGGAGTGGGGCCTTGGCCCAGGGAGGGTTTAAAGGAGAGGAGGGAGGTGGTTTTCAGGCAGGAGGAGCAGGGTGAGTGCAGGTGTGCGGGTGGGACCTGCATGGTCTGTTGGGAAGAAACAATAAAGAGGAGAGGCCGTGTGGAGAGTGAGGGGAGCGCCAGAGTCAAGAGGCGGACTTTCCCCTTAAGGAGGCTGGAGTTCTGAGGCCCCGCCCGCCCGGCCACAGGTGAGCCCCACCGTTCTGAGGTCTCAGCTGACCCTGTGGAGTCACTGTGCTGTCTCCTAGGTTCCCCTTCCCCTCCCCCGGAACCACCTGGAACCGTTTCCCCCTGTGACTGCTCATTTTGGTCTGTTTCCTAAAGGGTGAAAGCGGACTACCTGGGCAGCTGGGTCCCCCCGGAAAGCGGGGGACAGAGGGCGGAACAGGTCTTCCTGGGAACCAGGGGGAGCCTGGATCCAAAGGCCAGCCGGTGAGTGAACCCCAGGAAATACACATGTTCGCTCGCTCACCTGCACACACAAATACTGACGCTCACACGTGCACACACACAGACCCAGAAGCCACCTGCCTGCTCTGTGACAGGGCAGAGCAGCACGCTCTCTGGTCCCAGCTGCCACTCTCCTCCCCTGAGCGGAGGGGGTGGGAGGAGGCTGAGAGATGAGATCTGAGTGGTCCCTTCAGAATGAGGAGAGATGGATCACAACCAGATAAAAAGCCTAACATCCAGGAAAGAAATTGAATCTGTCATTTAAAAGCTTCCCTCAAAGAAAACCCTGAACTCAAGTGACTTCACTGGTGAGTTCTAGTAAACATTTATGGAAGAGATGATACCAAGTCTGCATAAACTCTTCCCAAAAGAGGAATACTTCCCAGTGCATTCTGGGAGGCTAACGTTACCCTGATGTCAGACAAGAAATTACAAAGAAAGAAAACTATGCACCAACATACCTCATAAATAGATATAAAAATTCTCAATACAATTAAAAAACTTTTATTAAGTATTTTTAGGGAGAGCGTGAGAGTGACATTGATTTATGGTTCCACTTATTTATGCATTCATTGGTTGATTCTTATATGTGGCCTGACTAGTGATCAAACCTGCAACTTAGGCCACCCAGCCCGGGCATCTCAATACAATTGTAGAGAAGTGAATCTAAGAATATATAAAAAGAATAGTGCACGATCCATAAAAGGAAATTTTATCAATTTGATTTCATTAAAACTTTTGCCCCTCAACGGGTACTATTTAGAGAACAAACAGGCCATGTACTAAGAGGAGCACAAATCATATGTCTGATAAAGGATTTATACCTCGAATATATAAAGAACTCTCAAAACTCAATAAAACGGAAAGAAGCAGCTCAATTAAAAAGCTGGGCAAAATATTTGAATACGCATATCAAAAGAGATACGCATATGGCAAAAAAGTACCTATGGAAAAAAAGATCAATATTATTAATCAGGCAAATGCTCGTTAAAACCACAATGAGATGCTACTACACACCTGTGAGAATGGTGAACATTTTAAAAGACTGACCATGCCAAGTGGTGGCAAGGATGTGGAGCAACTGGAACTCTCATCGAAATGTAAATGGGGAAAACGGCTTTGGGAAACAGTTGGGCAATCTCTTCAAAAGCTAAGCAGACACCTACCATCTACTCCAGGCCTCTGGAATCGTTCCCACCTGACCTGGAGCCGGTGCATTCCCCAACATAATGGCTGTGTGACTTTGAACCAAGTTCTTGCCTCTCTGAGCCAGGCTGGTGTGGGACATGCATGTATGACGGTGCACGCACAGTGCCTGGCACAGAGCAGGCCCCCAGCTACTGGGGTCCTTTTAGGGGATCATTCCTTGTATGGGAATGGCGTGTGGGTCCTTTCGTTCTCTTCCTGGAAGGCCTGGGACAGGAGATGCTGAGTGTTCTGGAGAGTTCCTCGTGGAATCCCTGAGCTGGCCTCCGCTTTCTCATCTGACAGAGGGCACAGGCTCTTTCCCCCCGGGAACCCAGATTGACCTGGTTCCCTGTTTGTGAACTGTTCATACGCATCGGGTCATCTCACGATAGAGTGGCTGATGTCCCTGGGGAAAGGCAGGCCCAGGGGCCCCGGGTGACTGGCTAGGCACCCTTGTCCTGGCCCCACTCACGCCATCTCATCCTGTTCTCCCCACAGGGTGACTCTGGCCAGATGGGCTTCCCAGGAATGGCTGGCCTCTTCGGACCCAAGGTACAGATCCCACTCCACCCTGTTCCTGTTGGGGTCCCGTCCATCTACCTACTCGTTCATTTATTCTGTCAACAAGCTTTTCTCGAGCACTTACACGGCCAGAACCACGCACGCACATCTTGTCCCAGGGACTCACATCCCAGCCAACCTGGGTTCTGAGCCCAGTTCCACCATTTACCAGCTGTGTACCTCAGGCCAGTCACTGGGTCTCTCCAAGCCTCAGTTTCCTCATCTGAAAAATGGGCATAATAACAGTAGAGAGTTGTTGTAATAAGTAAGACCAGAGACATACACCACACAGCCCCGAGCCTGCACACCGGTACCTGCTTCATAATTGTGAACTTTGTTACTTTGACAGAGAGGCCAAAGGGCCAGACCCCAGGGGTTGGGGAAGCTGTTGGGGCCCCTGAGTGGCCACTGGACACACAGATTTCTTCTTTCTCCCGCAGGCCCCCCTGGAGACATCGGCTTCAAAGGCATCCAGGGGCCTCGGGGGCCTCCTGGCTTGATGGTGAGTCCCCTCCCTCTCTGTCCCAGCAGGGGTAGTGGCCCCAGGTCTAAGGCTGGCCAGCCATCAGCTGGGCTCCTTCAGTCTTAAGCCCCTCTGCCCACATCTTCCTTTCCACTTCCGCACCTTTACCTATGCTGTTCCTGCCAGCTGGGCTGCCACCCTCCCCGCTTTCACCCGCTCCCCTCACCCCACTCTTGTAGCCCACCCCAAGGAACATGTGGGGCGGGCTCAGGAGGTGCATGGCCTGGCCTTTGTCAAGGAAGTCTCCATTCTGTTCCCTTGGGACACGCACAGTGCCCTTTACCCTCCTGTCGTGTGACTATTCCCCGGTCCCTGGGACAAGGACACACAAGCCTTTCTCTCTCTTTAGGGAAAAGAAGGCATCATCGGGCCCCTTGGGATCTTGGGACCTTCAGGACGCCCGGTATGTGCAGGAGGTTGGCCAAAGATTGCTGGTTCCCCTTGCCTTCCTGCTTCCAGATGGTCTCTGTTACCCGGGGCTAGGTTGGGCCTCAGTTTCCCCATCTGGGAAATGGGGCTTCCCTCTGAGCCCTCTCTCATGGGGCCATTGTTTATTGCAGGGTCCGAAGGGCGACAAAGGCAGCCAAGGGAACATGGTGAGTGGATGGGCTGGGGGCCGGGCTACAGGGATGGGGGCGGGGAGATCTCCAGGGATGTGAGCACGGTTCAGCCAGGTCTCCTAACTCTCTCTCCCGCTTCTCTCTCCATCCAGGGATTGCAAGGTCCGAGGGTGAGTGGGCTGGGGTGTGCGGGCCGCTGGGTGGGGGAGTGGGACTGGGCAGGCACTCTGGGTTCCTGGGCCCCAGTCATCCCATCTGTACCCATCGGTGCCAGGGTCACCATTGTCCCTGGGTCTTAGGTCGGCTCCAGGAGCCCTGGGTGGGGAAAGATGGAAGGCATTTGACCAGGGCCTCACTGTTCTCCTCTTCCTCCAGGGTCCTCCCGGCCCCAGAGGGCGACCAGGCCCACCGGTAGGTAACTGCGTGCTCGGTGCCGGGGGTGGGGTTCCTTTGAAGGAGACCCAAGGATTTGGTGGCAGGCGCTTGTCTTGGTTCTGACTTCGTAAGACTCAGAGCTTCTTGTACTGCACAGACTCTAGGGGAGAACAGACTAGCCCGGTGGGGCCAGGCCTCCAGGGGAGTGTAGACCAGCCCGGTGGGGCCAGGCCTCCAGGGGAGTGTAGACCAGCCCTGTGGGGCCAGGCCTCCGGGGGAGTGTAGACCAGCCCGGTGGGGCCAGGCCTCCGGGGGAGTGTAGACCAGCCTGGTGGGGCCAGGCCTCCGGGGGAGTGTAGACCAGCCGGTGGGGCCGGCCTCCGGGGGAGAATAGACCAGCCCGGTGGGGCCGGCCTCCAGGGGAGTGTAGACCAGCCCTGTGGGGCCAGGCCTCCAGGGGAGTGT